ATTTTTAAAAAGAAACATTCACAAATTAGCTCCTTTGCCCATATATCAGGACTAATGCTTGATAGGGTGGGAGTATGTTCCGATGCATATGGAACAGAACAACTCAACATGACTCTGATTCGCCTTTTGGCACTATTCCAAAGAACATTTAATCAGTCAAATGTTGGACTTGGATAAACAACCACATTCACACGGCAGCTAGAATGCTGTCCATTTTCCATCATATTTGTTCTATTACATCTACAAATTTTATAGTATCATTCTTTGTATATATATTGTATAAAATTATGTAATAGTACTTGTTATGTTTAAAAAAGAGGATTTTCATTCACTTAATTCACACTGCATAGCAACACACATATAAATCTTTTCATTTGGTTATTTCCTCTTTCTATATTAAAAGTAGTAAACATATTTGAGATAAAAATTATTTTCGATGGTGGCGTAGACACATGAAGATATAGTTGCAATAGCAGCTGTTATAACACTTCTTTATTTTTGATGAATATTTTTAAGGTGGACATGCAACTAAACCAGTGCAAGAAAAACACCAATTTTTAATAATTACAATTTGTACACCTATTCAAAAAAGGGTAGACAGTTCAATACCATGCCTTCTACTGCACTTTTAGGATATGTATTACATTTATATATAGCATTGTTATGACATAGGTATTCTAACATAAAATCGGACTTTTTCGAAAATGACATGTCCATGTTTTTCCATTCTTTGAGTCAAATTATACTTTAATAGGGAGAAATCTAAAAATCCATCTTCATACACTTTTTCAGTTTGAGTCGAGAATCAAAATTTTTAATTTATGGTTACTTATTTCACTTTCCCTATCATTGTGTGAAAGCAGGGGGAAAAAAAAAAAAAAAAAAAAAGGGTGCATTGTTTATTCTTTCAAACATTTTTCTTTACATGTTTTTTAATCATTCTGATTTTTAGATAATTTTATCCAAAAGTCAGGCTTTCAGTAATTCATTTTAATTATTTTAAAATTTTCAACTTTACTCAGTTGAACTGTGTATTTTAAGTACATTTATTAATATAAATTTTTGAGAATTTGATTTCAATTATTTGAATTGCATTTATTTCGAAAGAAACTTAATGACATTTGAAAACTGCATATACTGTAAGAGAAAATACAGTAAGCACAGTTAATATGCCTTTCAATGGGCCATTCAGAAAAGATACATAAATAAGATGGATGTATTACCAGCATTTTAATTTAGGATTAGTTGCATACACTGCTTCTCAGAGTTTTACCATTGTAACATTGTTTTCCATAATTTTATCATTCTACTAACTGCAGAACTAGACATTCTGCAATTATCTTAAAAATCATCCATCTGTTTTTTGTTTTCCATATATCACAAACATTTATGAAATATCTTGGTATTTCTGATATTCATATAAGTAAAGGTATCACCTTCCGTTTCATAGTGTTTGGTCAAAATAAAATATGAAAGGTACCCTTACTATGATATTGAATGTTTTTAGAGCCTAGTAATTTTAAAAGTATAAGATAAAAGGAAAGATTAGTTTCATCAATACTGAAAACACTTTTAGCAGATATCCAAACACTTCTTTGGAAAAATTCTTAAATATTTAATAAACCACTGATACCTCTTTGGATACAGTGTTCATGATATAACATTCTATGATGTACTTTAAATTGATACAGACTTTCAATGAAAATATGTTCGTCTCTCACATTTATCTGCAATGTTATTTTTTGTGCCTTTTCCGTAAATACAGATCCTTTCACTAGGAATAACTGATGCAATATTAAAAGTAGTAAACATATTTGAAATAAAAATTATTTTCGATGGTGATGTAGACACATGAAGATATAGTGTGAAAAATTTTAACAAAATATGCTTTGAATGTCCAGATATTTCATCTCAACACACAACAATTTTGAAATGAATTTTCCACAAACTTGTTCTTTCTTCTAATTTTCTCTTCTAAGGAAAAAAATCTAAGTTGTATCTTTCAGGGAAACAGTTTTCCATTTTCCAGATATTTTAGTTGCAAATTAAATTTAAAATAAAGATAAGAAGACAAATAGTTGAGTTAAAACTCATTTATAAATGATAAAGTCCCTATGAAAGATGCATCTTTCAAACATTTCTGGTCAGCAAAATCCAGTGTTTATCCTATCCCAACTAAAAATCCAATCTTAAAATCAGGGGCAAATAATCTAAATCAAATAATGCTGACAATTTTTAGGACCAATAAAATAACTGCCACATTTAACAGAATACTTTTGAAATTACCTGCAGCAGCATGAGGAAAAACTAGCTATTTGAAACATTCTTTGTATGAGGAATATAAAATTTACATTCGATGCATTTTCATAAAAAGATGGGATATGATCAAAACTATCAAACTTTTAAAATATTTCACTTGAAAACCTGTGTTATGAAATAAACATAACTCGCATAAAATTTTTACTTTTATGGTAAAAAACGAAGAATCATAGCCAAAAATAAATGGATGGGCTTCTCAAAAAATCAATACTGCAAATTTAACTTTGAATCACCTTCCAATACTATGTTTCAATATTCACCAATTTACCTTCGAATTCCTAGTTCCAAGAACCATTCTATCAAAAATATTTATTTACTTAAGTTCCAAGTAATCATAGTATCAATTAAATGATCAGATTGTGATTACGAAAAGTTAAATTAAAATGATCTAATACATGTCAAAAGTCAGGCTTTTGAGACTTGAAAAATGCAAGCTGAATTTCATCAATCAACCTGGTAGAATGGAAGATACAGAAGTCACTTGGTTATTTCGCCTTTTTGTCTTAAACAATAGCTTAACAAACATGCTAGCAGCAAATTTCTCTGAATTGTGTAATTTCAAAATTAATCCCTGTTATGTGACTCTTTATGTACCTGTGATGCATGTACACGACAAAAAGGGTCTTTCAGCAAATAGTGACACTGAAATTTGCACACTAAAACTATAAACAAACAATGAAATTAAAAAAATAACCATAACTTCACTATTCTTAATCTAGCATTTCTTAGTCTAACTGTCATGTCATCATTGCTGTTTCTCTCCAACAGTAATGCTGCCCCTTATATGAAATTGTCAAACATAGGTTTTTATTTATCTCTGTTGTCTATAATGCCATATTGCATTCATTATTTAATAAACTTATACTTAACTAAAAATGATTACCAGTCATCCAGCATCACCTATTTAAAATTCTAATTTTAACATATAACAGATGCCTGATATATTTTAGCATTTAAACATGGGTATGAAACATTTCATAATTTAAAATAAAATCATGCAAAACATTTATTATGATACTGTTAAACTGATATAAAATATAAATTATCAACATTGAATTACACTGCTGGCCACCGTAAATGCAACACTCTGAAGGAAGCATGCAAATAACATGAAATTTACAACATGCATTAGCAGAGGCGAGATATGCAAATAATTAGAATTTCAGCGCAGACGCACATCACACGCGCCTGTGGCTTGGAGTTTTCGACGATTTCAAGTTCGGCAATTGTGTTTTTCTTGTGGTTTAAAAAAAAAAAAAAATTATGCCTCATAGTAAACAGCGATCATTGTTTGATCAAGTATCCGAGTTCGACAGAGGAAGGATAGTGGATTATCTTTCAGGGAAATTTGTAGTCGTGTTGGACGAAACCAAACAACTGTAATGCTGATATGTGACCGTTGGATGCAGGAGGGTATGACGGACCGACATGTTCGATCACATCCACCTCAGTGCACCACTTTACGTGATGACAGGAATATTGTGCGCATGGCATTGACGGATCGCTCAGTCACATCACGAACCATAGCACAGCACATTCAGTCTGTAACGCATCATCCAGTGTCTGCGCGTACCATTCGACGCCGTTTACAGCAGAGTGGTCTGTCCGCAAGACGTCCATTGCTTCGTCTACCCTTGACACAGAACCACAGACGTCTCCGCCGCCAATGGTGCGATGAAAGAAGGATGTGGACGGCAGAATGGAATGAATTGTCTTTACTGACGAGTCACGCTTCTGTCTGCAACACCACGATGGTCGGATTCGAGTCTGGAGACACCGCCGTGGAGAGAGGAATGCTGAACAGCTGCGTTATGCACCGCCACACTGATCCTGCACCGGGTATTATGGTATGGAGGGCGGTATTGGATTATCACTCTCGCACTTCCTCTAATAGGCATTGCCGGTACTTTAAACAGCCAGAACTACATCTCCGAAGGTGTTGGAGCCAGTTGTCCTTTCCTTACCTTCAGGGTTTGCCCACAGCCATATTTCAACAGGATAATGCGTGCGACGTGTGGTCGCGACCACACGTCGGCACGCATTGTTCAAGGGTTCTTCATCAATCGGCCAGATTGAATTGCTTCTTCCCCGGCCGGCTCGCTCTGCCAGGATCTTTCGCCAGATAGAAAACATGCAGTCCATGGTTGCTGAACGATTGACCCAGATTAGATCCCAAGCTGCCACACCAGATCAACTTTGGCAGCAAGTGGAAGATGCTTGGTTGCTGTACCCCAAGAACACATTCAAAGTCTCTTGGAATCAATGCCAAGGCGTGTGGCAACGGTGATCTCCAACAATTGGCGGCTACTCTGGCTACTGATTCTGGAAGGAACCACACTTTACAGAAGTCTATAAATTTAATCATTTGATACTTGGTCAATACATTATCTACTAAATAACTTTTGTTGTGATATCCCTTGTCTTTCTTGGTGTTGCAATTTGGGTGGCCAGCAGTGTATTTAACAATTAATTGGTATTATTAAAAAAAAAGCAACTAAAAAAAAGGAAACAAGGGAGGGAAAAGATCTCCCTTTGTTTTAAACATTAATACAAAATAAAATTTTAATTACATTAGGGAATTATATGGGACAGTAATACACACTTTATAATTAATTCTGCTTTTTTGGAACAACTTACACACTAAATATAATTACTAGAAAAGACAGGTATTCTTAAACTACCTTTGAGAAACTGATGTTCTTGAAGGACGCAGAATTGGTTGAATACAGCATTTCATTGGCTGACCTATCAAAAAGAAATGGAAATGAATCAACAATCCTGATTTATAAAAGAAAATGATCATCATGGAAAAAACACAGGAAGAAATAACCTCACAAAAATAGCTTCCACAGTCATCCCCCACCCAAAAAAATATTTAAAACTGCAATACCAAAAAAAAATCATCGATCTTAGCAAATGCATGATATGCATGGCAGTTTGAAATTTACCAATTAGCAAATTAGTATGGTGTTAAGACTCAAAGGATTTTGAGATATGAATGGCACAAGCATTTTAGGATAGTTACAAACCTCCTTTAATTTGGTAAATTTTCTCAAAATTTTCCACATTTGTAAAAGAATTTAATATATAAATGAATTCTAATTCTAGTCAAGTGAATAGGATAAGATGACAATGAAATGTTTCATATCACCTTTTTTTAAGACTTCCCTGCAATAATTGCTGTAAAATATTATACAGTCAAAAGTCGTTAATTTGGACTATCGATTTTTCTGGATTATAGATCATCAGTTTAAATCTGGTAAGATGGCATGCAGAAATTATAAAATTAAAAAAATTAAACCATAATTTATGAAATAAAGAACAATTATGATCTAAAGGGTATCAAAATTTACAACAAAAAAAAAAAAAAAAAAAAAAAAAAAAAAAAGCTTAATATTTATTTGTTTACTTTATTAAACATTTCTTTCAATGTAAGTTGTTTAAGTTGCTTTGTTTTTTATGTGATAATACATTCTCTTTAATTCTATAAACAGACATAATTTCTTTTTCAGTTACAAAGTTCCACTGTTCAGGTCCTATAATTGCTGTGTCGAGAATACTGACTAATTTGTCAGTCGAAATTTTTTCGTTTTCAATAACCTCTGTGTCACTTTCTTCACTATCGGAAGCGAATTATAATGACGAGGAATTTGATTTAAATCATATCAAAGACGGAGTACATCGAGATGAAATACTACATTTAGTAAGGAATTATAAGCCAAGTAAAATAAAAACATCTGCCCCGAAGATAAGGATAGTGCTGACAGATCAAATTCCAGTTCATTGTGCGACGTGGTGTCCCCCCCCCCACAGAGCAGCGTGAAATTGATAAACAGATTTTGGAATGGTTAGATAAACAAAGAATATGCCTTTATCCATTTTTTGCAGCAATTCCACTTTTTGTTTAATGGACTTCGAAACATACTTTCGCTTTGTAGATCCTTTACATATTAGTAAATATATATCGGAAATTCTATTTGACATAATCGAGAGTTCAAGCTTACTTTTATAAAATTGCTCTAACAGTCTGCAAAAAATAAAAGCCGGATACAATTCGAAGATTAAGGAACAATGCAATCAGTAACATTAACTGAATTAGATAATTTTAGCTTAGCTTATACCGTCCGTTATACATTAAACGCGCGCGCGTTTAATGTATAACGGACTGTATTATATTACGCGCATGCGCACATGCATATTCACAGCCGTAAAGGTCTTGCGTCAACGCGACGCATGCACAGAAAGTTTGTAGCTTTGAGGTCCGGATTATAGACCATTCTGGATTATGGGTGTCCGAATTATATAGACTTTTGACTGTATATTTTGAAATAAATGTGCATTTTTCACTATCTGCAGAAACAAGTATTTTCAAAGTAATTTCTGTAACGCACAACATATATTATATACTTTGAAGGTGAACTACTTCACTAATAATGCAGCAAATAAGTGATTAGCTGATTTCAGCTTTTAATCTTTTCATCATCAACTCGTCCAGCGACAAAATCCAAGATAATAAGTACCTACTTATAATAGATAATCCAGCTGTTCAAACAGAACTCAAGTCACAACAAATGAGCTGGCTATATGGAATTTCATAGTTTTTCCCATATGCAACACAAATACAAATAACATTTCCAAAATCATCTGCAAAGGAATCCCTAACAGCAGGAGGAGAAACCTCATATATTTCACCTACATTAAACAACCAACCAAAACTTTTAACCCATTAACCGCCCAAACTACAAGGGATGTTTCTTTTCTCATGAAAATAATAACAAATATTAAATTAAGCATTTATAACATAAATTTACATTGAAAATTTTAAAAAAAAATGCTCTTACCTGTGAAAAAGCGAGTGTTGCGTTCGCGCAACGTCAGCGGAATAAGACTACGGATGTTTAGTGACTAAGATTATACTTGTGTGCGCTGTTTCCTTTGAGTGGAGCACTGGATTACTTTTTCGTTGTATATTGTTTTATAAATCTACAAATCACTTTCCTTGTAATTAACTTAATATTAAAATATACATTTTATTTCTTTGACAAATACAGATTATTTCATTTGAAAGATTCAAGCATGAAAAGCTCCACTACAATCATGATGTAAAGCTACATTACATACTTTGCATCTATAAACAGTCTGGCTATGGCACTCTTTACAACGAAGTCTTTTGTTATCATCGGACTTTACGATAAAAAGTCTACGATCTCCATGCAATGGTTTTTGAATGCTGAATTTACTAGGTCTTCCTGTTGCTGATCTATTTCTGGCTAATTTTACACTCTCAGTAGGAGTTTGCAAAAAGAATAATGCAAACTCGCATCTGAAATCTAAAAGACACTTTTTGTTTCCAGTAGTAGAAAGTCGTGATATTTAGTAAGTTTAGATAGGTCTCACCTCATATAATTTATCAGTATTGTCAACTTTACTATTGCTAAATGAAAATTCTGCTTCATATTCTTGTACTACAAACGTGATATCAATTCTCGTACAACAGGAACAGAAATGTCCTTATCAAAAGACCAATACATTTTTTCTTGAGGTAAAGAATAATATCCTGTAAGCAATAATATTCCAATAAATCTTCTCATATAGGCTTCAGATGCAATAAATTCTGGGGTGCTTTTTTTTTTTTTTTTTTTTTTCTGAGCGTATATATTTGTTCAACGAGAAGAGAGTAAATGTCTAAACCAAAAAGAAAATCAAAAATATGTGCACTAGTTTTATCTTGTGTTTTGTCTTTTATAATTTCTCTTCTATCTATTTCTTCATGTTCATCCTGAGACATAACTAACAGTTCCTTTTTTCTCCACTTCAAGATTTCAGTCTTCTGCTTTTTAAACTTTTTTAGTATGACTATAACTACTTTTAGAAGGCTAAAACTTACGTCTTACATGAATTTCAACTTCCCCAGCAGTATCATTTATTAAAATATCATTATCATTATTTAAAACATTGCCATTCCTTTCTTCTTCGCCACTAGCCTCTGCAATTTCTGAGGGAACAACAACAATATCAATTTCATTCTGGTCATTATTAACATTATCATCATCTGATCTTCATGAAAAAATCTTTGAAGGGCTTCTTCTAATGTAAGATATCTCGTTCTAGGCATTTTTAAACAACCAGAACATGAAACAGAACATTGAAAGGAATGAGTGCAAAAGGAGATTGACTACCCGTTTCCTGCTGACGTTGCGTCAACAACACACCTGTTTTCCTTCTTTCCCAACACAAATATAAACAACTGACTGATGTAATGTTCTGATAAACAGTGACCTTGACTAAAAATAGATCACTCATAAAGACGGCATTCTGAATCTTTCGTTATATATTTTCAGCAAAAAATACCCGGTCGAAAATTTTGCTTAATTTTGCTTAAAGTATGGAGATTAATTATTATAAACAAAATGATTGTTGAAGGCAAATATTTTTTTACAGAAATAATCTTCATAATATTCCCTACACAAAATCATCTGCTGGTATAAAATATCTTAGGTAGTTATATTTATATACGCATTTATTTTGACCGTTGCGTCAACGCAACACCAGCTGGTAATGGGTTAAGACAAAGTCTGACTATGAAGAGTCAGTATAAAAACCTTCATATATCAATAATTCATCCTAAATATGATGCTGTTTTTCACATCAAGTAAGTTCTGACTGGAACACAGAAAATTAAAATATAGCTTTGCAAAATAGAAAATTGTGCTATTAACTAAAATTCAAATATCGTCATATGATCAAAAATGTTTTTTTCATTAATAATAAATACACTAACCTTTCTAATATATATGTGAACAATGCAGTGTCATAAAATTCACAAAGACTTTTAGCATTCTTCAGTTAATTACAATACCATCATCAAAATAATAAAAACCTTAACTTTCATACCATCCAGAAGCCTATTATGATAAATTTCACATGCTTTCTCAGCATCTTCTTGGCTAAAAAACTCTATCACTGCAGTTCCCGGATAGCACAATTCGGCACTTTTTATTCGCCCAATGTCTCCAAACAGTTCCTGAAAAATACATTTTTTTTTTTTTTTTTTTTTTTTTAAATTCTGATACAACTCATCATGACTGAGCTAATTTCTCATGCAATTAAAGCCAAACAAAAATTTACCAAAATAAATAAATAAATAAAATAAAACCAAACCTTGTGTAAAATAATATTTGCAGAAAAAACTTTATTCAACACTAAAATCATTTGTTATGAGAAACACAGAAGAGCTTCCAAATTTTAAATATGAAAATACAATTAGTATATCTATTCATGAAGCCCAGATGGTATAGTGGGGGAAGAGGGGTGGAAGACCTTCATGCCTGGGCAAAGTCATGCAGTCTTTATCATATGGTGCTCAAAGCTCATGCCAACAGGAGATGAAATCATGTTCTTCTTGCCACGATAAAATTTGTAGGCTTGTTCTAATTAGTTAAGACAAATGAGATTAATTTTAACATAAACAACTTAACTTATTTAAGAATATTTCCTCTTTTATTTAAGAGGGAGGGAATATGTGGTCAAACTCAATTCTAAGGAGGCAATTTGTGGGCTTGTTCTGATTAGGTCAGACAAGTGAGATTAGTTGTAACAAAACAATTATAAAGAGGCTCATTGAAGAACAAACTTTGTGGATTAAGAACAGTACATAGACAGTTAGGGAAAAAACATGTGTGATGTTAAATATATAAGAGAATATAGTACATCAACTATAACTGGAAGACAAATATTTTTCTAATGCTTATTCCATTTCCTTGGTGAAAGCTAAGTTTTAATTAGCTAATTTAGAAATGAATTTAATTACTTAATTTTCCTCATAAGATTTTTTGTTTATTGATATGACTCCAGTTTTCAGAAAACCTGAAATTTTTTCAGCATATATTATAAAAAGTATTTTTGCTTGATTATTTACCTCCTTCTCTATTAATAAATAGAGAAGAATCTGTATGTATGAATGTTCCGCATCATAGAAAAATGGTAGGACCAAGAGATATTCAATTTTGAACACACCTAGCCTTCTAATTGATGTATGCACTTTAAAGACTGAATTTTGAACTTTTTTTATTTACTTTACATTTTGTGCAAATTTTACGACATTTTGATTAACTAACTTGACGATTTTAAAGCAATATATTGCCATTTGGTAAGAGTATGATATTTATGTTCCAAATTTAAAAGAATAAAAAAGTGTTGCTTTTGCCTAATGTGATATATTTTTATTTTCAACATTTGGCTATTTGTCAAAACATAAGATATTTTTCTTTTAAACTATATATTATTAACAAATGAAGTAATATAAAATCAATAAACACAATTATTCATCTTTTTTATTATTATTCATTACTTACTGGACATGCAAAATTACATTAGTTGGATTATTAAAATAAATATACACATATTTCTTTCAATGAATATAATCACAGAAGTACCAAATTAACACTAGTTTAAATAATTTGCTCCAATTATGTCTTAAAGAATTTAACTACTTAATTTGTTTCAAAGATTTATGTTTGTTGATACTCCAGCTTTCAGAAAATCTGAAATCTTTTAAGCAAACATTTTAAAATGTATTAGTTGGCTTGATTATTAAGATTCTTTAACACAATTTGCATGAATCACTTCTTAATAACTTCTTCAGAATCACTGTGCTTACCTAAAAATAGATAAATAATTCATTCTTACCACTATATCCTGCTTTGAGACAGATGAACGCAGATTCGTGACATAAACCGTAACACTCTGCTGCATTGCTGCAGCTAACTCTTGATCTGCAACCATAGTATTATTCATTGTAAGAACCTGTTCAGCTAAAGATTTCTTTGGGAATGCTGTTTTGCTTTCACTTTTCTATAAAAAATATATCATTTATCAGAAAACAATTTTACTCATAAAAGTATTATTTAATATTGTTGCAAATTGCTATAAATATTTAAAATCGTTTGACTGTTTGGTTATTTGCCTGTACGCAGACCTGTACTACTGTTTGGTGTCATTATACTCACTACTGAGAACTTCTTTTGTATTTAATTTGTTGGACCGAATTTAGGAGATTTTGTTCCTGTTCATATTATAAAATGCAACTTTTTTTTTGTGTGTGTTTTTGAGTTACAAGACGTACAATAAATATTTTTAACAAGTTTCATTCAATTTGCTTGCACACTTTTTGATTCATCATAAGTTTTCCATTGGCTTTCTTTTAGAAACCAGTGTAGTAAAAATCGACAAAAGGCTTCATTCTAAAATATGGTAAACATATTTTTACAGGATGTGCAAAAAAGTGAGTTGAATACTGACTCTTTATTAAACAAAGAAACATCGATTCCTTCAGAATTTTGCAACAATGACTGTACAGAATCTCCACAAAACTTTCACAGTCAATGGGATAATACATACCCAAGTACCATAAAAGTTCACATTCAGATTGAACTAAATTCATTGATGTAAAATTAAAATTGAAAACTGCCCCCCTTGAAGAAGACAGACTTCTGTCTGTAGCACTTAAAATCAATAATTTTACATAAAATCTGCACTGGGAAAAAATTCCATAACTTATAAAATAGATTGTAACTAGGAAATGTTGCATAATCTCCATGAATGATGTATAATATTAAAGAACCCTGAATTAACATTACAGACATTTTACACAAAATATCTGCATTTACTTTGCTTTTATATACACATCCTCTATAGTTTAACTCAGAAGCTGTAAAAAAAGGAGTTCTAAAGCTGTGACACACTACTATATATATGAATTCAATAAATATTCTCTAAGCAATGGGGCAAGAGAATTATTTAAATTTAATTTTACTATATTCTTGTGAAACAATTATACATATAATCTATATATAAATGCTACTTTGGGATCACTGCTTCATAAGTAACAGAAGAGGTTTTAATAATTAAAACTTCAAGCTCTTTTGAATGAGATACTTATCCCAAGAGAAGAAGAGGAAGAATGACCTTGTTTGTTTATATTAGCTATACATAAGGCATGTGATCTCAGAGATCTCACCGGAACGTATCACATTTTAGAAACTTGATTTTGTTCTTACTCTGTTACAAAATAGATCACATATGATAAAAAAAAAAAAAAAAAAAAAAATTATTCTAATATCAAGCTTGAAGTTTTATGCAATTTTAGATTTGTCCATCATAAATGCTCTGCACAATGCAGAGTACATCAGTTATAAAGTGGGGTTAAGAAATAAAGGTAGGGGTAGCAAGCATTTGATATTCCCTTTGAAAGTGCAAATTTAGTTTTAAATATTTTTTTGCCCTAAATTAATATTATATAACAGTTCAGTTCTCTCAATATTATATTTCTAAGTAAGTTAAGTAAGAGGAGTTTGCAGAAAGCATGTTTAAGACTTCCACAAAAGTGAGATTGAGTTACTTGTCTTTAGCTCAAAAATAGCAGCATGTGCAGTTCCCTTCACAGAAGTTGTAACAGAACCAAATTTAAGATCTTATGATTGTGTTTTGAAGTCAGGCTTATCCATTACTGGCTCTAAATCACAGTGTTTGGTAATAGTGCTTTATATCAGTTTTAGTCACCCTAAAGTCTCTTATTTGCTGGTTTTTTAGGGAGGGGGGAGTTTCAGCTCTCTGGTAAGTTAAATGTTGAATAGTTGGACTTTTACTGTATATGTCAAATGTAATTTTGAAAAAAGCATGCATACAGGCCAATATAACACTTTATTAAAAAGAATTGGGATAGATTTTTTTTTAATTGGTTGTCTCATTCTACATTGGATCCATGATGTAAAATTAGAAATTTTAATATAGAGTAAATAATTGGGTTGTTAACTTTATTACTAATTTAATCAATGCTCTTACAATAACAAATACATTAAAAGCAAATTATAAAATTGTCACAGGAAACTTAAATTGAGGCAAATTATAACATAGATATAAAAAACAAAGAAAATGTAGGATAACTTTCTAATTGTAACTTGCACATCATTCATACACTTTTTGCACGGGAAAAATAATAACTAAATAAATTTAAGCATCTTCAACTTACTATGCAAATGTAGACATTACTGATTTTGCTCAAGTATGATAATACATTAGTAAGAAAAAAGAACTGAAACCTCTTATTAACTCAAACTACTGTAACAATTGATTACATTCAGTTCTTGATTACAATTATATACAGGGGGGAAAAAAGGGGAGAAGTATAAGGTCAAGAATTCATTGGTTGCAAATAATTCAAGTATTCTTCGTATAATTAAACATATATGAAATGAAAATATTAAAAAAAAAATAATAAACATTTCCTGATATAAATAAAAATACACAGATTAAAAAATTAAAGGTACAGAAAATTATAATATTATATAGATGTATATATTAATATATTAAAATAATTTGGATATTTTATACTTTGCCAAGTGCCAGCCATCTATATACTGCTTAATACCTGAAAGTAGTAAAATTCTACAGAATGCCTGTTTTTCATACTTCAGAATGCTCCAAAATGTCATGAATAAGCAGTATTTTCTTGATTATAATGGGAAAATGACCTTCTCACTTTGTATCTTAACTCCCTTTTTTTCCCACTATACATCCAACCTAAAATCAGATTGATCAGGATGTGGCAGAAATTTTCATGTGTAATGAATGGGAAGACCAACCTTCGATATGGAATTTTTATAACCCTTGGAAGGTTAATGATTTTTCATTACTACTTTCAGTTATAAACACAGTAACAAAAAATAAAATCAATAAAAAAATGCTTTTAATTAGCCATTATGAAGAGCATGTTAAAAGGTAAAAATTAATGTGCTGCATTCATTAATGATCGAAGCAATTCATTCGCATTTATCCGAATGAAAGTCATTTGATTGATGATGCAACAAATGAAAATACAACTACATAGAAATAATCACAGAAAAAAAAAATAAATAAAAAATAACATTTTAATATGAAATTTAATACTGCATTATTCAGAGAACATGGTTGTATTTTGCTGTATATTTAAGACCACAGTCTTGTTGTTGATTTCCAAGCCAAACAACACTGAATACACATTTTACAGCCATGACAAAAATATAAGCAACAGTATCATTATTCTGAGATAGCAATTGCACAATCAGAATTTCAAAGCAATTGGATCATTCCTTCTTGGTGCATAGATAGTGTAATTTCCTTTTTTTCCCAACAGAAGATTTAAGTGCATTTTTTCACAGAAATTTCACACTTAAACCGCTTAACCATTATACATTTTGACAGCTAATATAGCAAGGCTTGCTTGTGAAAACATTCGATTGATTCTAGGCAGTAATTTTGATAGTAGTGGTTGGTGTCCTTTCAATTATGGAAAGTGAAAAGCAGCATTTTTGGTATGATTTACTTTTTTACAATTGAAAAGGTAAAAATGCTGTTCAAGCAAGAAAAAAATTATCTAATGCATATAGAAAAGATGTATTGATAGAATGCCAGTGTCAAAAAAACTGGTCTTCAAAATTTTGATCTTTAATATGCACCATGTTTTGGAATGCCAGTTAAAGCTGATAAAGACACAATAAAGGCATTAGCTGATGCAAACAAACGAGCAATTCATGAGATCGCTGAGAGATTAAATTTATCATATTCGACCATTCATAATCATTTGAAATGCCTTGGTTTAATATCAATGCTTGAAATATATGTACCTCATTTTTTTAAGCACATTATCACTGGGGATGAGAAATGGGTTGTCTACAATAATGTTAAATGCAAGAGATCACGGAGTAAAAAAGATTAACCAGCTCAAAAAGCTGGTATTCATGAAAAAAAAAAAAAAAAAGGTGATGCTATCCATTTGTTGGGATTTCAAAGGAATTTTTTTTTAGCTTCTACCGGACAATACAACAATCAATTCTGAAGTGTGCTACCATCAGCTGGACAAACTGTATGATTCACTTAAACAGAAAAGGCCAGAATTGATAAATAAAAAAGGTGTAGTGTTCCACCAAGATAATGTAAGACCTCATAAAAGTCTGGTAACTCGCCAAAAGCTTTTACAACTTGGATGAGATATACTGCCACACCCACCTTATTCTCTGGATCTGGCACTTTAAGACTGTTATTTGTTCTGGTCTCTATACAATTTTTTAGACAGTAAAACCTTTACTTCAAATTCACCCAGACCAGTTCTTTGCCCCCCCCAAAAAAAAAATTATGAGCAAGGAATCATGCTACTGCCAAAGATGACAGAAGGTATTGGACCATAATGGACTATATATAATCCAAAAACATATTTATTCACTATAAGAAAATGTTTCATCTTAATAAAAAAAATTACATTCTGAACAACGAAATTCAATAAAACAAGCTAACTAAACTAATAGCAATAAAGCAATGATATGTCCTTCTCTTCAGTAATTAATTAACTACACAATTTTTAATCTAATGTTGCTAAGCATACCTTTGCTTTTTTCATGCTAGTCTCTATGGTACTGATTAATATGTTTCCAAAACCTCTTTTTACAATTGATGTTACTAACCAATTATCATGATTTAGGAGGCCTTTACGACAACTTCTGCTTTCTGCAGTCCTCACAAGAATGCAAATTATTGATTGTGTATTTTATGTTGAGGGGTTTTGAATGCCTAAATTAATATGTGAAATCTGGGTTTAAATCTGAACAGTAAATACAAACTTCTCTGTTATTATTATTATTGTGCTTTGTGTATTACTGTGTTCTATTCAATAGATTATAGAAGAAAAGGAAAGATTTACGACTATCCAACACCACCATGTTTTCAGAAGAAATAATCACTAACTAGAAAAGCACCAGTTTCGTCATGTTTTATATATCAAATATATAAATTTAGCTTGTTACATATAATATTCACTGAATTTGAAAATGTAACTTATAACTAATTTTTGTGGGGGTGAGTGGGTAAGGAAACCTGTCTGCTTTATAAAAGCAGATTGCATAAAGAAAGGCAGAGGCAAACTATGCAGTGTTTTCTGGCTTTACTAAAGGACACAGTACCATCTATTATAATATAGTTTAGAAAGGCAGAGGCAAACTATGCAGTGTTTTCTGGCTTTACTAAAGGACACAGTACCATCTATTATAATATAGTTTATTAAAATAATTAAAAATTCTTACATATTCAAGAGTAATATTTGATTATCATATTAAAGTATACAAATTTAAAATTTAATAATGTTGCTAAGTTGCTTAGCCATTTGCCAAACAGTATAAATAACCATCAGATTACAGAAAGAAAACTTATTTATTTTTGAACAATTAAACTACACTTCACTTCGCAAGAGTTGACAAAAAAGAATATTTAAAATATATTGTATAGGAAATTGTTAAATCGTTTATATTTAGCAGAATCACCACTTATTCTCTAAATATTTTTTTATAAATACTATAAAAAATCACACACACAACATTAAATGTGAAAAATATTACGTATTATTCAAAAAATTCCCTCAATAATTACAATTAAAAAAGAATAAGAGGTGATGAAAATCATTCAGCTATTTTATACCACAAACAGCAATTATAAACATAGCTACAAATTTTTAACATTGCAAAAAATTATTAAAATATTCAACCATATTGAATAATTTTAACTATATGACTTGCAATAAAATATATTTTAAGGTAAGGATAATAAAAATATTCTCACAGTTTTGGCAGGAAGCAAAGCTGAAGGTAATGAATCCATATCCATAAGATCATCAATTCCTATATGTTCCAAATCATCTACATTAGATTCCCATGATTCAGAGCTTGTCTTTAAAAATGAAATATAGTTACATTTTAGTTTTAAGTATCTACTTAATGAAGTATCAAATGAGAAAAGAAAAGACGACGAAGAAGAACAATTGTATTTCCATAAATCCAGGGTTCGTACACATTTCTGCGCACGGAAATTAAGTACTTTTAAGGACCATTAATGAAAAAATTAAGGACCTATGAGCGAATGGGAACTGAATAAAATCAATTCAAAATATCTATGCCTGACTTCACTTTGTAATACCATCCTAAAAATAAAAAAGATCGTAAGTAGTTGCAGTTATTATTAAACGTAACTTAATTAACATAATTATTATTAAGTCTGAGAATAAAAGATATGAAATTTATCAAGGAGTATTATATATTTTACACTTATAAGAACTGAACATATTTGAAAGGAGATAAGTGACATTTTATTTACGTTTTACTAACAGTTTTATGTTGATTTTATTTTATACCTCATTTTGTCACATACTTGCTCAGTCTAGAGCTTTAGTAAATAGTAAGCAAATTTTGTGTCAAGTGGCATAAATTAAAATGAGAGGTAAAATCATAATCAGCATGATGAACAACAAAAGACTGGCTGTTGTCACTGCTACTGCTTAACTGCAGGGGTTGTGACTCAGTTAATATACTTTAAGGTTCTAATAATCCACTAAACACAGAGGTGAATAGTTGTTTACATTATTAAGTCTCACTAGATGCGAAGAATAAGTTTTACATTTTTGTGTTTTATCTTGTGACTACAGTAAGGGTTAATGAAAGGCAATAACTCGCTTTAACCTTTTGAGGGCGAGACTTTGGTAGCAGTAAAAGCTACCAAAGGACGGGGAATCTTGAACCAAATGCTTTCCCCCTTTAAGAAATCACCTCCTACTTGCAACAAAGATTCTTGTGTGTAGTTTAATGGATTCTCGGAGGGGTGCATCTATGTCGCAAAAGGAAGACCTTTGAAAGAGATAATGGTTTAAAACCCTAGGGACGTCAAATTTGGACATTCACCCCTCTTTTAAGCCTGGAAAATGGGAGAAAAAGACATGGCCACTAAAGTGGACAACCCTGTCTTTTCAAAGAGAGGACTCTATGGCCACTATAATGGCCATCCCGTCTTCAAAAGGTTAATATGCAGAGATAATTTTTAAGGGCAAGCAGTCATAAGTAATTAAATTAGGTACAAGATAACCTTAGTCATTATGGATTTACATGATCCCTATTAAATTTTATTTTAACCCTATTAAATATTATTTTAGCCCAATCTAATAAAATTTTATAATTTAAAATACATGTAATTTATGACATTGATTCTTAAACGATAGCGGATAATTACACGTAAAACATTTATCTTTTGTAGAAACAATGCTCAACAAAATAGTTATACATCTTTTTAATCTGAAGCCTTCCCAGAAATTTTGGTTAATTTATATCGATTTCCTTCTATTTGAGCACCTTTTTTAACAATTAGGAATTTGTCTCAATACACAAAAGAATGCTGTCACTAATTTCTGCATATTTTATCTCTTAACCTGTCAACCTGTCCACAATGTACCTATGAAGGTTATTGATCTGGTAAAAGTTAAATAGTCCAAAACACATCAACAGATAGAAGCAAATATCCTATGTTGAAAGTAACTACAATGTCCGACAAAGGTTTAAATAACATTCTTATTTAAAAAGAACTTCAAAAATAAAGGCATTTTCTTATGCTAACAAAATTCATTACAGCTCGTAGTGATGTAATGAAACAAGTCAAATTCAAACTAAAAATATGAATTAGTGGTCAAAGACTATACAATTTAATTTGATTTTAAGGCTGGCTCAATAACTCTATTATCATAACAAACTCAAATGTCGCCAACGGTAATCCAAGATGAATAATTACAAATTATCAGAGCAGGTAGGAACTAATGCAGTGAGGAAGTGGAGGTCAGAAACACACTCTTGTCTTACACTCCAAAAATCTCAGTTTAAAAACTGTCTACGGGATTTGCATTCTGGTGAGAAAATAGAAAAGGGAAATTATAGTAAGGGCTGAAATTGCAAACAATTGGGTAATTTACATAATAATAACTGTACATATCTTTTGAAGAATAAATTTGTTTCGTTATGTATTCAGTTCTTCTTCCATGTTTTCTCTTCATTTTAGAATTTTTGGACTAATTAAAAATTTCTGATATTCTAAATAAACTAAATGCATTTAGAATGCATAGAAAAAAGCTGTTGCAAATTTTATTTCTTTAGTAATATGAACCTTCAGAAGAAATATGAAATATATATGGTAAGCTTCGGTTCGGTTAGAGAGCTGATGTGCCATCATTTTTAGAATTTAGTGACACACTGAGCGATAAAGTCTAGAAATAGCAAACTTTATAACTTCGAACAGGCATTGGAAAGCAGATTAGAAAGGCATCAGGCAGCAGAATTTACGATCCACAGAGACTGCATCAGATGGGAAAATGCCTAGTGCCAGCCTGTGTGTGATGCATTAAGACAATTAGATGAATCTTTTAAATTTCAATTCTCAATATTTTTATTAATAAAAGAATTCCTTTCTATAATGCCTGTTCATATATATGATAAGATTAGAAGCATTTTTGATATTTTCTATGTTTGTGTCTAGTGAAAAGTACAGAAAATAAAGGGAAGATTAAAATGTTAAGAAAAGATTCTAGTATCAGAAGTAAAACATTCAACTATAATGTTTTCATTTTACTTCTAGAGCTTAACTTGTGCCCGAGCCCTGCTCCGGCGCAATTTAAGCTCTGGAGAAAACTGATGTATATTTTGAGAATTGTGAATATTCTGAGACAATTACATGGGAAAAGCCCTTACCATGAAAATATTAAAAATACATTTTAAATTAATTACATAGCTAGTTTGCTTTTGCTAAAATAAAAAATTTAGCAAAAGTTTAGTTTCATAAATTAGTTTCATAAATGGTGCTTTATAGTTATACCTTGTTTATTTTCCACACATAAAAATGTCTGAAAGGAACTTATAATATCAAAGCAAAAAATAAAAATGCTTATTTATCTTATCTCATAAATAAATTCAAAAATTTATTATTTAATTAATTATCAACGTCACAAGTTCTAAAAAAAACTGTCAAAAATATTCTAGATCTCGGAATTAAAATTTTTTTATAGAAACAGATCTTAAAATTGCCAAAATTATGATAAGTTGCCAAATTTAGAAGGGTTTAATAAAAGAATTAACATCCCCAAAAGTGAAAAGTTGTTTAAGAGCTCTTCATTAGAAAAAATGAAAGAATTTTGAAACGCTCATGTTTCACGTCCTGCTCAGAAACTTGAGTATCCCACCACTTAATATTAGAAATAGGAACAAATTATAATCCATGAACCCATTTAAAAGATAACCATATTTGTCAGCAAATCGCCCAAAACATTACTCTAAAATGTTAATTCACACTCAAAATGGCAGTGGTAAAAACAGACAGAAATTTCTGATGATTAAAATTAAGGACCAAAAATCTATTTAAAAAACTTAAGGACTTTTAAGGACTCTTAAGGACCGTACGAACCCTGTAAATCTCAAATAACACAGTGTGGATTAGGATTTCAGCAACTCCCTCCTGTGATAACTGCCCAAGCGACAAATACTAGCATGGATAAAAGTGAACATCAAAAGAAGACCATGCAGATAAAAGGCCATACTGCTTACACTGATATAAATGCACAATGATAAATGGGCACATAATTTTTATCCATATAGATTGCGTGATCATAATTAAAATAAATGCAATATCTCAGTCTGATTTTTGATGAGTCAAAATATATGTCTGTTTGAACTTGTCACCACTTTGCCTTACTAGGCAGAAACACTTTTCTGATTAAGTGGCTAGCTGTAACAATGATAAATATGAAGATTTTATTATTTTATTTTTGTATTAGTTTATTTTGTGTGTGTGTGTAAAAATGAAAAATATCACTTTGAAGAGTAAAAGCATTTTTTGTAAACATTATAAGGCTAACTATATGTATGCTTTAATATTAAAAAATTGGATGAATATTTAATTAAAGAACAGAATAAATTATTTTTATACTTAATAATGCAGAGGTTCTCCACTATAGTCATATAGACATAGTTTCTGGGGGGGGATGTGGTCAGACTTTTATTTACCTGCTAAGTATTTAGTTTATGAATATATATTGTTACAAAATATACAGGTGCGGTAAGATGGCTTCCCAGCAAAGCAGTTTTAGGGTTGCCACATTTGGCGAGAAATCGCCCATTTGACGCCATGCCATGGATGGATGGAGAACCTTCTGGAATGAATTCTTATCGGTTTAGCCCAGAATCTTCTCCAACACAAGCAGAAAGCTATATAAACCCTGCTGGTCCGCAGTCAGTTAGTGTCTCAGAGTGTGCCTCGTCGAGAGGGCGAGTGAGAGTGCCTTGTCTAGAGTATGAAATAGTCAGTCAAGTTGATGTCTCGTCTAGCGAGTCAATCCCTGCATAGTTGATCGAGTTAACAGCCTCGCAGCAAGTGCCGAGTGGGTCGTTGAGTTCATCGAAGGAGTCTGTTAGTGTATCGTGGTTTAGCTCGTCAAAACTGATAGTGAAGTTACAAAGTTGAGCAGAGTGTTTAACATCTGAAAGTGCATGTGATGCAGAGATGGGAGAAACTGATGTACAGCTTAAGCAGTGTGCTCCAGTATTGCAAGAAAATTCACCCACCTCACAAACTATGTATGCATCTCATAGAGCTGATTGTGCAGACAAGGACTTGATTCTAAACCCGTATACTTCTGCTTGTAAAGGATCGGATTCTCTTCGCGACCCTGGTGCAGACATCGGAACTGGTTCGCAGGAAATGGAGGAAAATAAGCATGTATCAATGGCTAAAAATACCGAGGTGAACTGTATGCCTACTGAGAATGAACCACAGAGTGGTGACCAAACTGTTTCAGATCTTCTTGTGGATGAAGAGTCTGAAAGGACTATATCTTCAGACTGTGTTATGCAAAACAGAAATGCATC